GATCTATCCAGCAAAGCTTTCATTTAGAATGGAAGGGCATATAAAGTGCTTCTCAGATAAGATCAAATTCAAGGAGTTCATCATCACCAAGCCCTTATTATATGAAATGTTAAAGGGACTTACCTAAGAAAAGGAAGATAAAAAAGATGAACAGTAAAAGGACAGCAAACTCACAGTTACTAAGAACCACATTTAAAACAAAAGCAAAGTAAGAGGACAGCTAGATCAGGAGCAAAACCATAGAAATGAAGATGACATGGAGGGTTAGCAACAGGGGAGTGGGAGAAGGAGAAGGGGGGGGAAGATATAGAAAATAAGTAGCATAGATGGTAGGTAGAAAATAGATGGGGGGAGGGCAAGAATAGTATGGGAAATATAGAATCTAAAGAACTTGAGACACGTAGTCATAAACTAAAGGGGGGATGGTGGGGGAAGGGGTGTGAAGGGTGTAGGGGAATGAAGGGGGGAAATAGAACAACTGTAATGGCATAATCAATAAAATATATTTTTAAAAAAAGAAATAAAATCTGCTTGAGTGTGGTTGGTAGGTTATATGGGTGTAATAATTTATATTTTTAATTTGAACATTTCTCCTAAAATGTCATATGGTGTGCTTGAGTGTGATATTGTTATGTTACAGAATTACATGCTTATGATTTTCTAATAAAATATTTTATAATAAAAAGGGAATTATTCGTGCTCTGTGTATATAAATTTATTGAGGTGGCATTGATTAATAAAATTATATAAGTTTCAGATATGCAATTCTACAATACATCATCTGTATATTGTATCATGTGTTTACGACTCAAAGTTAAGTCTTTTTCCATCATTGCTTATCTTTTTCTACCTTCCCCCATGCCTTTCCTTCTGGCAATTACCATATTGTTGTGTGTGTCTGAGTCTTTCTTTTGCCACACAATATTTTATTAGTTTCAAGTGTACAACATAGTTATTTACATTTGTATAACTTAGGAAATGATCACCACAGTAAGTCTAGTACGCATCTGATACCATGAGTCGTAATATTATCACAATAATATTATCACAATATTATTGACTTTATTCTCTGTGCTGCAGTTTATATCCCAGTGACTATATTTATAACTGGCAATTCCTTTTTTTCACTCTTTAGTTTTTCTTATGAACAAATCTGCCTATGTTCTCTTCCATTACAAGTCCTGCTGTATGTGAGAAAAACCCAGTGTTTCCACTGGGAAGACACTTGGTCTGTTTTGGGCCTTCGAATGGCTGAATGATGGAGAAGAAGGTGCAATAAATTTAGTCTTTAAGAAAGTAGAATTTCATAGAATCATGTGTCTTGTGCTCCTCATGAGTACACAGTCTAGCAGGATTTGCAGGTATTTGCTTAATTATTGCAAATGTACTGTAAAATAATAATCTGTTAGAAGCGCATGATAAGATGCCCAACACTGTTAGTTATTAGGGAAAGGCAAATTAAACCACAGTGCCAGTGTGATATTCTGTACATTACCAGAAAGTCTAAAATTGAAAAAACTGACCACACCAGGCATTGGTGAGGATGTGGATCTGGTGTTCTCATTTATTGCTGGTGAGAGGGTAAATGGCACAGTTACTTCTGAAAGTTTGGCAGTTTCTTAACAACTTAAACATACACCTGCTGTATGACTGAGCCATCATACTCTTAAATACAGGGTGGGGCAAAGGAGGTTTACAGTTGTGAATATGTGAAACAGTTTATTCTTATATTATTATGTATTAATGATTGTATTTAAATTAAAAATATATATATTTTATTGATTATGTTATTATAGTTGTCACATTTATTTTTCCCCTTTGTTTCCCTCCAACCTGTACTCCACTCCCACCAGCATTCCTCTACCTGATTTCATGTCCATGGGTCACACATATAAGTTCTTTGGCTTCTCCATTTCCCATGCCATTCTTAACCTCCCCCAGTCTATTTTGTACCTATAATTTATACTTTTTACTTTTTACAAACTTTTCCTCATTCTCCCCCCATCCCTGCTGATAACCCTACATGTGATCTCCATTTATGTGAATCTGTCCCTATTCTAGTTGTTTGCTTAGTTTTTTGGTTTTTGTTTTTTTTAAGTTTGGTGGTTGACAGTTGTGAGTTTGTTGTCATTTTACTGTTCATAATTTTTTATATTCTTTTTCATTAAATAAGCCCCTTTGATCTTCTTCTTTTTTGTTAAATAAGCCCCTTTAACGATTCATATTATAAGGGCTTGGTGATGATGAACTCCTTTAACTTGACCTTATCTGGGAAGCACTTTATCTGCCCTTCGATTCTCAATGATAGCTTTGCTGGATAGAGTAATCTTGGATGTAGGTCTTTGCCTTTCAAGGCTTTGAATACTTCTTGCCAGCTCCCTCTTGCCTGTAAGGTTTCTTTTGAGAAATCAGCCGATAGTCTTATGGGAACTCCTTTGTAGGTAACTGTCTCCTTTTCTCTTGCTGCTTTTAAGATTCTCTCCTTATCTTTCATCTTGGGTAATGTAATTATGATGTGCCTTGGTGTGTGCTTCCTTGGGTCCAACTTCTTTGGGACTCTTTGAGCTTCCTGGACTTCCTGGGAGTCTATTTCCTTGGCCAGATTGGAGAAGTTCTGCTTCATTATGTTTTCAAATAAGTTTTCATTTTTCTCGCTCTTCTCCTTCTGGCACCCCTATGATTTGGATGTTGAAACATTTAAAGTTGTCCTGGAGGTTCCTAAGCTCTCTCCATTTTTTGAATTCTTGTTTTTTCATTCTGTTTTGGTTGAATGTTTATTTCTTCTTCCTGGTCCAAGCTGTTGATTTGAATCCCAGTTTTCTTTCCTTCACTGTTGGTTCATTGTACATTTTCCTTTTCATAGCCTTCACTTTTCCTCTATTTTGCAACCATACTCAAGCATTTCTGTGAGCATCCTGATTACCGGTGTTTTGAACTGCGCATTTGATAGGTCGACTATCTCTTCATCACTTAGTTGTATTTTTTCTGGAGCTTTGATCTGTTCTTTAATTTGGGCCATATTTCTTTGTCTCAGCGTGCCTGTTACATAGTAAGGGGTGGAGCCTTAGGTATTCACCAGGGTGGCACAACCCACATCGGCTGCTACCTTTTGGTGCTTTCTGTGTGGGACAGGTCTGAGAGGGAACAGTGTCACTTGTTCAGCTCTATTACTGGCTTTCAGTCACTTCCTCTACTACCCACAAGCAAATTGGGTCCTTCTGGTGCTGATTTCCAGGTGGGTGGGTTTGTGTATGTTCTAGGATCCTGTGGGTCTCTCCAACCAACTGTACTGTGAGGCTGGGAGTGTCTTTGGTTGCTGCCTCAACCCCCACAGGTTTTTTCAATGAGAGGTTTTGAGGCTTTATTTCCCAGTGCTGGAATCCTGGGTTTCATGGTCTGTCTCCCTCCCCAGTTGTTCTTTTTGGTTTTTCTGCATACAGATGCAAGTCCACCGCTCTGCCAGCTACCTCCTTGTTGGCCCAGGACCTCCAGTTGCCACCTTGCTGTGAGTCCTCTCCACCCTGGCTGCCAGCCTCCACCCCTCCTACCAGTCTGAATAAATATTTCTCCTTTAACTCCTTGGTCGTTGGACTTCCATACAGTTCGCTTTTCTGGCAGTTATGATTAGTTTTTGTTTTTAAATTGGTTTGTTTTATGGTTAGTTGTTGTCCTTCTTTTGGTTGTGTGAAGAGGCAAAGTGTATCTACCTGTACCTCCATCTTGGCCAGAAGTCCTGTGTACTCTGATTGTATTATTTTCCATACAAACAACTGTAAACCCTTTTTCCTACCCTCTATTTACTAAGAGACATGAAAACACATCCATATAAAAAGTTGTACATAGATTACTCACAGCAGCTTCATTTCTAATAAGCCCAAACTGGACAACCCAAATGTCCAAAGAAAAGATAAGCAAATTGTCATTATTCACTACTGAGTAGCAATGGAATGCTACTCAGTCAACTATTGAAAAGAGTCAACTATTCACATGTGCAATGACATGGCCAAGTCTCAAAATAATTTTGCTAAGTTGAAGAAGTCAGATAAAAAAGTTAAAGACTCTTAGGAATTGAATTAATAAGGTAAAAATGAAAATATAGGCAAGAGAGGAAAACTTTAGCATTACTTCAAAACTGGAATTGATGAGGCTTGATTATGGGAAAAGATCTAGAGGGGCACAGACTGAGGTCTTTTTCCGGCTTATGGTATAGATGTTTGTCTATGTAGAACATCACCTATATGGCAGTGAGGGTTATGAAAAAGATGGTGCTTAAGTACACAAGAAGTGATGAACTGATCATTTAATACTGACTCAGTGATAGGTCTAAGACCCCCCAAAAGAAACATCCAGTATGCAAACTATCAGTACTTGATTGTTTATGGAAAATAAACTTATAATTTGTTTTTTTAGTAAAAATAAGTATAGATAGCTAATAATATTAGGGAGAGAAAATGGAAAAAAGAACACAGGAAAATGGGATTCCTACAGCCATTCCCATGGACAAGGGAGAATGCAGGATTGAGGGCAGAGTGGGGAAGGAAATAGACTGTATGGGATGCCTTAGGGAGAAAGGACAGGGAACTGATTTGGAAAGCAGCCAACTTTATGGACATCTTGTTAATTTAATGCCTTGGCTTGATTTGCTCACATGATCCAATGTCTAGAATTAATTGCAGCATATGAGAGACAGTGTCAACTGTGCTCAAGGGCACAGCTTTTGGAGTTCATAGTCCCATCTCTGACCTTAACAACTATGTAAACTCTCTGAGCATGTTTTCTTATCTGCAACATGGTATCTTCATCAGTTTCTACCTCTTAGAATTGTTGTATTAATAAGAATTAAAGGAAATTGTGCACAAGAAGCACTTGCTATTGCTTCTAATTCATACTAACTACTCATAGAAAATAGATCCTACCAGTTCAAATCCCTGGTTGCGTTCTTTTACCGGTCGGTAATGACTACTTTCCAAGTCAGCAGGGTTTTTCTTGTCTTGTTTCAGGATTTGTGGATTTGACCCTCCATGATCAGGTCCACCTTTTGGAATGTGCCTGGCTAGAGATCCTGATGATTGGTCTCGTCTGGCGCTCCATGGAGCACCCAGGGAAGCTCCTATTTGCTCCTAACTTGCTCTTGGACAGGTGAGTGCTCTGGCTGTAGCTTGAGGGAAGCAGATCCTTTATAGCCTCCTGATTATTCCTGAAGCTCTTTCATCCAGTATTCCATGAAGCCTCCACAAATGTTATCAGGTGTGTTGGCTCTATGAATGGGTGAATTTTGGTGATGGAGACCAGTCCAGTTCACAGAAGCCTACAAATAACTTTCTGCTAGGTACCTTTTCAGATTAGCTCTACTATTTCTAAAATATATGTTTATATGCATTTGTATATTTATACAATGTCCAGTATTGTCATGGCAGGATACTGAGGACCCGATTTTTTAATGTATATGTATATATATATACACACATATGTGTGTGTATTTGTAAAACTATGAACTATAAGTTGTTAACTCTACCTTTATCTTGTGTCATGTAAAAGAAATGAGACTCACTTTTCTTTAGAATATATTTTTGGCCCTCCTCTCTCCTCCTTTCCCCTCCCACCCCTCTCCTCCTCTCCTCTTCTCTTGCCTTCTCTTCTTTCTCTTGTCATTTTCCCCTGTTCTACCTTTTTTCTCCTGTGTTTTCCCCTTTTCTTCTCTTTTCACAAGTCTCCTCTTCCTCCTGCTCCTTCTAATTTTTTTGGTGTTACAGTAGTGTAGTTCTGTGATCAAGTTATAACAAGTCTGCAGGTGAAAATCTCATTCCACATGCATGTTTTCCTGCTGTGAATTGGAATGTGTCTTCAATGTTCAGGTTTTGGGGACAAAATGACTTACCCCCTCATTTGCATCCATCTTCCTGGGTACACAGTTTCTGGGAACAGTCATCTAGTCACTGCACTTTAAATATGACAGGGTTTGTGACATGAACTCAGTTGGCCAGTGAGATGATATTGCGTAGGATTTTATCAGCTGCCTGATTCTCTTTTCTAGAAACTCTTACTGGGGTTAATTTTCTCCCGTCTACCTCGGTGCAGTGTGAGTGAGTGAAAGGTCCCATCTCTGCCTATCGTTTTTTTCCTAGAATCCAGATTTAAAGTTCCTACTTCCTCTAGACTAGGATTTCTCAACCTCTGCACTATTGGTGTTGTTAGTTGTCCCGTTCTTTCTTGTGGGTGACGGTCCTGCACATTTAGGATGTGTAGCAGCATTTCCTACCTTCTACATGCCCATAGCACCCCTCTTCCCCAGTGATGACAGCCCAAAGTGTCTCTAGACATTCGTAAATGTCCCCAGTCCCTGCCCCACTGTGTGTGGTGGGAGGGAAGGTGCTAAACTGTCCCTGGTGGAGAGCAACTGCTCTAGGCTCACTACATCCCTCACTGATACACTATCTTCCTTATCAAGTTTGTTCCTTTTATTCTTCTCTCCTCTTCCAGCAGAAGGTAGCCTTTCCCTTGTCTAAGTTCTCATCATGTTTGGTTCATACTTCCCTTAGCCTCCTTCTGCCACATGTGAGTTATAATTGTGTGTCTTATATGCCTTATCATAAACTTCTTGTGGACCATATTGGATCTTTTTCTTATCTTCAGTGTAGAAAGTCTCCTGTGATTCCCAGCAAATGTTAATTATGCTGGCCAAGGTCCCCAGGTGCTTTATGGCAGTCAGGAGAACTCATATCTTCTGATTAGTCATTTCAGCTGTTCTTGTCAATGGACCTGCTCCCTCTTTGTTTATTGCTGCTCATCAATTCCTGGCTTGGTCCTTTACAGAATTTGCAGAAATGACTATCCATCTGTTTTGAATGATTTTTTAAGTTACTAAATGCCCTTGGCTTATTCTTATACTTCTGTTATGCAACTTTTAAATTCCAAATAGGGATAAGCAAAGAATCACACTTTTCCCTGTATACCTAGACACACTCTTAAGTGTAAAATCCTCAAGATCATAATACATTTACATAGGCTTAGGTACATGTTAATGATTAGAAAAGTACATAAATAAATACAAATTATGTAGTAAAAATATAAAAAATAAAATATGATCTATAATGTAAAATTTCTATACTTTTCTAATTATTAATATGTACCTAAATATTATGAATTTTAGTATTATTAAATTATCCTCTTGGTGTTAGAGGCTAAGTGCTTTGGATGACATTGATATATGCATACAATAAAAAACTTTACAACCAGCAGTCCATTTGAAATTTTATATATCTGGAGGATGACTTTTGAGTGATAGCTGAGAACATCATTTCTATCTTTGCCTGGCAAGCCTCCAACCTCTTTGATAACATTTAACCCTGATTAGCATAAGCCCTCCTGATCTCTCTGTTGCCTTTTCCCATCACATAGTAAATACAAAGTAAATATTTTCATAACAAAATGTAGACATTCCTAAGTTTCACAGCTAAGTGTTTGACTGAGAATGGGTAAGCAGAAGACGAGTGTGAGCTTTATCATTTTTATTTTATCTCAGGCTTGATGACACTGCCTTTGAAAAGTCGGCCACCTCCACAGGCTGTTTGCATCTGCATAGTCATGGGGAAAAGAGAAAGGTGGAAGTCAGATAGTCCTGTCACCCATGCATTACCGATGCTGCCAGCTACAGTCAGGGCTTTATCTGTGACTAATTACAATGATGTCCTGTTCTCACAGACCTGCGCAACCCCGGGCATCCGTGCCATCCAAAGCAATCAGAAGGATAGAATTTACCCCAGTCTTGCAGTTGCTCAAAGGTTAGTATTGGCAAGTGGGGTTTAGTGACTGTAGGAACAGAAAACCCTACTGGGTGGCCACCCCGCATTTGTGAGCAGAGGACGTATTTTCTATCTTGAGTCCATCTGAAAAGATTTATTGCTTGATTTACTCCCTGATGACAACCCATGATATCTTGATTCTGGTAACTTATGACTGTCCTGGTAGTCATATGCTTGAAAGCTAATTTTATTCTTGCGATGCTTAGTCAACCGCGGTTTCCAGTTCTTCCCTGTACCCTGCAGGGGTGAGTTCGGAGCACTTCATGCAGTCATCTCTTCCTGTGAAAACCAAGAAATAAAGGTATAAATAAAGAACCCAATAATTTCTCTTGATATGTTTGTGTGTATGTGTGTGTATTTTACATAGAGGAAAGTTACAGATAATAAGAAGGCCTGTGAAAGTAATCAGGAAGTGGAGGAAACACATTTTCCATTCTAGCGCCTAATCCTTGGGTGTGTTTGGCTACAGAAAACACAAAATCCATCCTCTGTGTTGACTCCCAATGGACCTTTTTGTTCAGTCCTGCTTGAGAGCACATGCTGGAAAACCAGAAGCAAACGTGTTCAACTTAGATCATCCCTCGTGGGGTCTCTGTTTTTGCAGGAACAAAGTTTGCTGTCACTGGAAGGCGGATGTGATGTTAGAGGAAACAATGTAAATTGCCTGTTCAGTGAGTCCATCCAGTTTCTAAGGAACTAATTCTGTGTTGCATGCTAACAAATTCTGAGAAATATTTGTGGATTTCTCAGTAAAGCCAAACTACTCTCTTTTGACCCCCTTTCACTTTCAGAGAAAAAAATGAAACAAAACAAAACTATTTATTCATTTGAAAAGCACAGCTTAATTCGACAAGCAGAATATTCCCACTACCTAGTTTGGCCAGAGGGTTGTTGACCTAGGTCTTGTCATCACTCGTGCATCGAGCATCCAGAGGCCCTGCCTGTGGGCAACAGAGCTGATCTCACCTTTAACAGGAAGCTAAATAACAAAATAAACAAGCAAATAGAATAAAAACAAAGACACTAAAATAGAGAACAAGTGGGCAGCGACCAGAGGGGAGAGGGAAGGGAATTTAAGGGGAAAAACAAGGAGGGATTTTGAAGAACAAGTATGAAAGACACAGGGATGAGGTCTGGGGGGAGGGGGGGGATGGGAGGGAGGTGGGGAGACGGGGCAGAGGGGGGGTTGGGATGGGAGAAATTGACAAAAGAAAACTGTACTTGAAAAATAACTCAATAAATTAAAAAAAAAAAAGCCCACAAAGGAAAAAAAAAAAAAAAAGAAAGTTCTTTTACTTGTAAGCATGGAAGAAGAATAAGCTTGCTCCCCTAAGAGAAAAACAGGTTGCTGCACTGAAAAGAATATTTTGCCCCTTCTACCACATAGCAGGTGATAAATTCATTTTATATTTAAAAAGTAATTTTCTGGAAGACAGAGCATTCTCATTTTTGGTTATTTACTGTCAATATTTTAGGAAAAATGTGAGTAAACACATACAAATAACACAATGATTCCAGCAGGGCTCTTATTGATTTTTCATGTTTAACTGACTTTTTGTATGTGTAAAACTTAATATAAATTCTTTGCAGATTTTTTTGCTTGGAAGAGTTAAAAAACATTTCAAAGTCAGTTGATGAATTCAGACTGTGGTCCATACAAAGGTTTCTCAGACTTGAAGAGAAGGACCTCCCTTTATAGTCCCTTTTCAGATTTTTTCCCTTTGAAAAATGTGTGCTATACCCTAAAGGGAGCATCAGAATAGCTGGGGGAACAGAACAAGTGGGTGGAGAGAGTGAATATCCCTTTACATACTGTAGTTACTTCGGTAGTATTGCTGGAGTCCATTTATAAGTTTCCAGAAGTGCTTTTGTTCGCACCATTCATATCTCAAGAACCTTGCTTGTAACCTCTTCATTTTACCTTGTAGAATTGGATGGGGATAAAAGCAGGGAAGCCAAGATTTATTTAACTTCTTTAATGCATACAGTATAATGCTGGGTTATCTTCTATACCTTCTATATTTCATTAATTGCATGAGAATACAGGTAGCAAAGAGTGTTACTACTTTATATTTTATTGGTTCTTTCCAGTTCTGAGCCCTTAAGTACTCAATGGTGGATGCCAGTTGATTGATTATTAAAAGTGTTTTGTTTGGTGTTCTGATGAGTCTTGGGAATATGAAACTATAAACTATCGAGGAGAAAACTTGAAGCCAAAAGAAGGGAGAAATGAACCAAACTGTCATTATTATTGCTGCCTTTTAAAAATAAATCAAAATATCTATTGGACTAAAAATCAATTTATTACACACTTTAAATGGGTACATCTTGTATATA